ATATGATAAAGGCACAACAAAATTTATAGCAAAACAGATACAGAACCAGGAAACATGATTGGTTCAACAGAAATTGTGAGAAGGCCAGAGACCAAAAGACATAAAAATGGAGTCAAAATTGGAAGAGGCCAAACCCTCAAAATACCAGTGATACAAAGAAGCATGAAACACGGCAGTGAGAAGAGAGGCGGAAAGAAATTTTGAGGAAGGGATAGTGGACAAATGTAAAACAGAACCAGGCCTATTCTATAAATTCATTGAAAGCAAATTGCAGGTAAAGGATAATATTCAGAGGTTGAAAATGGGAAACAGTTTTCACAGAAAATGAAACGTGTGAAACATTAAACAAACAGTTCCAAAGTGTGTGTGCGCGCAAAATGAATTGTTCAGAGAACCACACACAATAAGAATTCCAGACAACAACATATAGCACATAGAGGTATCTAGAGATAAAGTGCAAAAAAAAAATGCTGAAGGAGCTGAATAAGAAAAAAGCTGTTGGCCCAGATGGAGTTTCACCATGGGGTCTGAGAGAATGTGCACCCCGAGTTTAGCATTCAACTTCATTTTATTTTTCAGGCATCCCTGTGTACAAGAGTCCTGGCAGACTTAAGGAAAATGCCCTAGATAGTTCCACTCTACAAATGTGGCAGCAGGGAAGACTTCTTTAAGACCTGTATCATTGACATGTGTAGTACATAGTAAAAATGTTGGAAAAATAATTAAAACTAAATGGGTAGAACACCTAGAAAAATTATATAATAAGACAGACAGACAAGTATGGTTTTTGATATGGAAGACTGTGCAACAAATTTACATATTTTCTATGTTAGAGCCACAGAGTTTACAAGAAAAAAGACAGTTGGGTTGGCAACATTTATCTTAACTAAAAAAAAAAGTATTTTAACAGAGTCCCACGTTAGAAATTGTTCTGGAAACTGGAACATACTTCAATTGGTGTCCCACAGGCTTCAGTTCTTGCACTGGTAATGTTCATTGGCTACATAAGTGACTTACCAAAAGGAATACAGAATGCTATGAACATGTTTGCTGCTGATGCTAAGATACTAGGGAAGAAAAGAAATTTAGATGGTTATCATACCCTTGAAGAAGGCCTAGACAAAATAAGTGTATCTAGCACCACTTGGCAAATAGATTTTAATGTGAATAAATGCCATGCTATGGAATGTGGAATAGGAGAAAATAGAACAACCTACAAATGATGTGAGAAAGCTTCAACAAATTCTTAAGAAAGAGATCTAGGGGTGGTTCTAGATAAAAATGACTATCACCTGAGAACCACATAAAGAATATTGTGTGAGGAGCCTATGCTACGCTTTCCAATTTCAGAACTGCTTTGAAATACATGGAGGGTGAAATAGTAAAGAAATTGTTCACAACCTTTGTGAGATAAAAGCTGGAATATGCCGTGCTCATATCTAAAAAAGCATAACAATCTGGAAAAGGTGGAAATTAAATTAAATGGCTCCAGGAACTGAAAGACAAAAGCTGTGAGGAGAGGTTAGAGGCATTAAATATGCAAAACTAAAAGATAGAAGAAAAAGAGGTGACATGATCACTACGTACAAGATAGTAATGGGAATCGACAAAATTGATAAGGAAGAATTTCTTAGACCTGGAACTTCAAGAACAAGAGATCATAAATTTAACCCTTAGACAGTGGTTATCGTCATATGTTGATCCACCGGTTATTGTCATATGACAATTTAAATAAGTATTGTCTGGGTATTATATGTATGATGTATATAAGGATATAATAACTCTGTGGATGTAATGGAGTTTACCTTGGCCCATGAAAAAACTTTATTTTATGTGAATGTTGTTATCAGGTGAATACGGTCATCATTATTGTAAAAAATTCCATCATAATTATATGATGTGTATACCAATGATGTTCATATAGTTTTCAAAACTCCGTAAGGTTGTAATAATGTATACCAGGTAAACCAATCATCAGTTAAACCATTATCATGTTTTATGTGTACTAGAAGCCTGCCATCATCTGTGGATGGCAATTGGTGGCTTACGCCTTTCATTCAATCTATACTCTCACCTGTATGGTGCCAGTTAGGCCATATGTCATCGCCCAGAGCCCAACACCATTGTATATTATACAGTGAAACCTCGAGTGATGAGCGTCTCAATCTACAGTATGAGCATTTAGAATAACGAGCACACCACTTGGCGAAAATTTGTCTCGATTGACAAGCTTTGGTTTGATTAACGAGAAATTCCCGCAGCATTCTCACTGGTTCTCGCAAATTTTCGGACACCTCCGACGATGCAAATAACTTTTTTTTTTTTGTGTTTAAAGATGCTAATGATGCTGGGATGTAAAGGGGTGACTGCTGTAATGTTGCAAAGTATCGATTTTTGTTTTTTAGACAAAATTAGAAAACAAAATTTTAAAAAATTTGACAAGAACGAATGTCAAAAATGTTCGTTCAGTGATTGTCAGGTAGGCTGCTTTATTTTCGAAAAAAAGTGAAACAAAAAAATGTCATAAAGGATCGTTCAGTGTGTGTCAGGTAGGCTGCTCCATTATTAATCAAAAATATGAAAAATATAAAACAAATTGAACAAATTTGAAAACAAGAAAAAATACCATAGTGGAGCATCCTACCTGGCAAACACTGAACAAACCTTTGACATTTCTCCTTTTTTTAAATTTGTTCATTATTTTTCTTTTTTTATATAAATTTTTCTTTTTAATAAAATTGGAGTAGGCTACCTGACATTGAACAAACCTTTTCTAAAAAAAAAAAAAAAAAAAAAAAAAAAAAAAATATTGTACAAATCTGAAAAAAGAAAAAATGTCATAAAGGTTTGTTCAGTGTATGTCAAGTAGGCTGCTCCATTTTCTTAAAAAGAAATAAAAAAAATAAAATTGAACAAATTTGAAGAAAGAAAAATGTCATAAAGGTTTGCTCAGTGTATGGCAGGTGGGCTGCTCCATTATTTAAAAAATTGAATATCGTATTGATGTATTTCAGTGGTAGAATGGATTAATTTTTTTCCATTATTTTAAATGGGCAAATTTGTTTTGAAAGACAAGCGTTTCACATGACAAACTAGGTGCTGGAACGGATTAAATTTGTTAATCAAGGTTCCACTGTATTTACATGCTTTTCACTATGCACTTGTAATGGAGTATACCAGGTAAACCTATCATTTGAAGCATTATCATGTGTCATGTGAATTATGTGATTTATCCAGTTATTCAACACATACGCTTGTAAATAAAGAGAAACAAGTGATAAACAATCAATGAAACTCGTACAAGTAGACCACAGGAGTTGTCTCGAAAACTTCAGTGTCAGTAAAGTCGGCATTGTGTGTTAGACGCCGGACCACTGCCACCCCACAATATTTCAGAGTGACTACACCCTGTGAAATGATAAATATTCACTTATTTTCACGTTTTTCTTACATTTTGCATACTAAATAGTAATTCTACCATGAAAAATTATTTAATTTTTTAAATTTTTTGCACATAGGAAGGAATGACCATTTTCTATAGCCACTATCCAAGGGTTAAGCTAATTAATGAGAGCTGCCAAAGAAATATAAGAAAAGTCACTTTCACAAACAGAGTGGTAGACAGTTGGAACAAGTTAAGTGAGGTGGTGGTGGCGGCCAAAACTGTCAGAAGTTTCAAGATGTTATATAACAGAGTTCTGGGAAGACGGGACACCACGCGCATAGCTCTCGTCCTGTAATTACACTTGGGTAAATACACTTAAGTAAATAGAGGGAGCAAATGATAATCTGCCACCCTACTTAAGAAAGCTTCCAGAAAGTCCTGCAGGAGTAATGGGAGGGGATGGGGGAAATCGGGGAGCCACTCGGGCTTCATTTATTTATTTGTATTTGGTCTGAAATATTCAAGTTTTGCTTCACCTCAGCTTGTCCCAATATAAAATTCAAAGTAATGTTTTTTCTCAAACATTGAGAATAAATGTTTAATATACATAAATATACAATGAAACTTTACTGCTTGCACTCATCTAGTATAACATTTTTTACAGTACTTGAATAGTAGATGATAATGGAATGAAAGATTTCATAATTAATACATGAAAAATACTTGGATAGGTCCCTAATCTATGCAGTAAAATGACAACTTGATGAATTAATATCCCATGACACTGAGGGTGCTAAATGGTCTTCCTGGCTGGTGCCTTCTCCTGGTAATATTTACTTACCAGAAAAGCAGAGCTTAGACGGCTTTAAAAATACATCACTAAAACTCTTGAAACTAGCTACAGGTAAACACTGATAATTTTCATGTTCTACCAGCACCTCTTCTTCAGTAGCCTCACTGTTGTGATACTGGATGGCTCTAAAAATGTATCAAGCTACAAAAACTGAGGCAAGGTTTTGGGATGCTAATGTCAAGGAATTTCAATTAATTATCTCTGAAGATTCTACTACACAATAAGTCTAATCAACGTTCATACAAAATCATTCTTCTAAATACAGTACCTTGACTTGTACAGTGTTCTATATTTTTCACTTAACCTTTTTTTTCTGTATGCTGAAGTCAGTATATTGTACATTATATATACTGAATAATTTTTAAACACTAAATCTAATGTTCTAAATTAAGTATTTTTTAATTTACTCACTGAATAAGATTCTGAATATTTAGATCACAGTACTTGTTTTATTTATGAATAAAAGACTTAACAAATGTCATCCAACACTTTTGCTCAAGTGCCAGAATTAAGATTTTCTTCGGCTGATTTGGGCGCTCTTTTTTTTTTTAAATGTTACAAATGTTTGTGTACTTATGCCATTATAGTTATTTGATAGATAATTCATTCTTTTGGCAAATATTCTGCCAAAAGAAGAAGAAAGTGTTAAGGGTGTTCTCTCTAGAGGCCCTATAAACAACTGTGCTAATGTTTTTACATATACAGTAATTGGTTTAGTTTTACGTAATTCTAATGTTTTTTTTATTCTTTTTTTACCACCAGGCAGGGGAGTTCCTCGGTAGTGAATGCTCTCTGCAGATCACCATGCAGGGTGAAAGTGGAGGTGTTGCCCCCACCTCCCCCAATTCCACCCAACCCACCCAGCACTCTTCATGCCCCTTCTTTGAGTCGGTGACCCAGCCTATGGCCCCTGCATTGGTGGCGGAAGCAAATGAAGGGGTCAAGATGGAGGAGTCTCCGAAGGGCAAAAACATGGAGCAGTTAAGCATCAGTTTGATCAATTCCTCTACCAGTGACTCCATGAGTGGGGGGTCATTGTCTCGTAGTATGTTAGAAGTACGTGATGATGGAGGGTATCGTGCTGAGGGGAACTCGTGGGAGCAGAGACCTCGACGCCCCTCCCAAGGTTCCAACCTTTCTTCTAGCAGTTCTGAAGAACGTCTCAATTATCCTGCGCCTCGTACATTCTGGGAACGACGAGGTAAACCTAAGCCTGTAGCTGGAGCTCCAGATTTAGTAATGGATCTGCCAGTTACTCCATTATCGTCTTCCCCCAAAGAACAAGGTGGCATCAGTCCCAGATTGCGCCGTACCCACCTTCATCGTGAGAGCCAAAGTTATGATGGTTCTTCCTCATCTGGGGGTTCATCCCCTGGTACTCAATCTCCTGATATGACTGCAGGTGAGGTTTTTGCCAAACAAAACCAGTGTACATTGAAGAAAACTCCGGCCCTTAAATCTTTTGGTGGATATAGTACAGATGCACAAACTCAGACAATTGTTCCAGTTAAAGTAACATCGTCCCTTAGCCTAATTAAAAAAAACAGTGATGCCACCGAGTTGAGGATAACAGAAGGAGAGGAATCGTCAGTATCCAGTATTGTACGTAGTTTAGACAATGTGATGCAACAACTAGACTCGGAGATGCGAAGTGAACGCACTGAAGTGTCCTCTGAAGTTCGAGTTGAGGTACGGTCAGGTTCAGAAAAACCACAGGAAGTAACGGTGGCACCATCAACTCCGAAGCTAGCTGCAAGATACCTACAGGCTGTTGCAGCATCAACAGGTGGATCGACTCCAGCAATGAAACCACCTGTTCGAGTAAAGCCTTCCGTACTTAAGAAACCATCATTAACGAGAGGATCGCCTGAACCTGACCCACCAAAATAGATCATTGGGGTAGATCAGAACATTTTATATAACTTTGTTTAACCAATTCAAACATTGACTTCAAACAGGGAAATGGGCCTTATTGAAATTAAAATTGTTATATTCGATCATATTTGTGCAGTGTAGATTAAGTTCTAGTTCTGTTGATAACTGTTATTAGGCCATACAATATGTGGAAGATTTGTACATGAAATGCACGAGTTATCTTTAACTGGAATATATTTTAGATTCAACCAATGTTATTTGAATGGTGTGACAATCTTTCTCCAAAAAATTCTAGTTAAACAATGTAGGTATAAGTATTTCATGACAGAAGGAACCATATGTTACAATGAAAAATTGCATTTAGTGTGCCTCAACATGTGGAAAGCAAAGCAATGGTGTGTTGTGTCCACATTTTAGATTTTAGATTTAATGCATTAAATTTAATTTGATAGCGAATCTCCTTATTCAGACAAATTATTTGTGACACTTCCCTAAAATTAAAAAAAAATTAAAATACACAGCACGAGAACCAGTGAAGGAATATTTGTGGGAAATATGCTGCTGTAAACATATTGCTCAAGGTGATGGTGCACATGACAGACACCGACTCTTCCGATGCATTTACTTAGCCCAGCGGTATTTGGGGCACCTTCAGCCTTCAGTCAACTGAGCTTCACAACGCTCAGTTGATTATTGTGACTCAAAGTTACTTAATGGTTCAAAAAAAAAAAAGGTTTGAATTTGCCAGCATTGAAATGTTGGACAGTGTATTAGTATTCAGTGACCATTTCAAGAAGTAATGTTTGTATACATTGAAGAGGATTATGCATATCATCCTGCCTGCTTGTATGCACTAGTCAGGAGATACACACCTAGTCAGTCTTTTCCTGGCAAGTTTAGATGATCTGGTTTTGTAAGTGAACTTTTACAAACATTTCTATATCTGACAACATACCACTATGGGTCTTTTTTTTTTTTATTACATAAATTCTGAATTGACTGAAGTGCATTATTGCCAGATGGTTTCAGTGGTGATTTTGAGTGGTGCTTCCTAAGTGCTGATGTGCTGGAAAACTCATCCCAGTATTGACATTGGGTGCTGAAGGAGTTACTTGGAAAGATGAGAGCTCGATATATATGTTGATGATCATTCCTGTAAATAAATAGTAATGAAAATGATATTCGAGGAAGGTGGAACTATGGCATAAGGTGACTTGTGGTAGTGTTGCACTAGGAATGCCAAAATGCTTCATACTTCTGAGCTTACTGAAATTCCAGGAAACTGCTCATCCGACTCACATTTGTAAAGATACCAAATGGATATTAAGTTGTAAATGACTAGTTTATAGTGAAGCATGAAGCACACTTATGTGATACATGATAAAGGACCAAACAGCTAAATGCTTATTTTCCTATACTGTACAAGTACTGTAGTGACAGAATCATTATTCTTGTGGCCCAAACATTCGGTGGTTTTGGGGTCCTTTGCAGATAATCGAATTTTGACTCTGAAATCCTCATTGTAAATATATGTATTATTTTCCTTTTCCCAAAATACATGACACAAGGGCACATTTGAAGCAAACTTTAAGTGTGTCTTGGTAGGGAATGGGAGTAGTGGAGGGAAGTGTAGAATTCATTTTAAATTGTGAGGGGAAAGTTGTATTCTAAGATCTTTCATCAGTGAAGAAAATAAATCTTTACCCTAATATATGAAACAGTTGTGTTGCCAGATGTGAAAATTTATTATAATTCTCTTGTTTTTTTCCCCTCATCCCTGGGGACCTGGGAATTGTCAGGTTGTGTTTTTCTTGTGTTGTCAGCTCAAATATGTAAGTAGGAGACATAGATGAGGTAATGTTGCTGTTATCCATGACCTGATGAGTGTTATGACAAGCTGTTTATATTTGGAATACAGCAGCGAGATAAATTGTACGTTAAACACTTAATGCGTCATGCTACATTGTCAGGAAAAATATTTAATACCATTCAAAGGATGCCATGTAGGATGTATTAGTACAGCTATATTCAGATTTATTACGAGAAATTTAAAAATATATAGATTTTTTTTCTATTTGTATGTGCATCTGGTAGTACTTGGATATTACTTGGTAGCATTAATGATTATTCATCATTTCATTAAGAGAAAATTTATTAATAGATACAGTGTACAAAGGTGTTTTTTAGTTAGTATATTATTTACCTCTTCACTTCCACTGTTAGATTTGTTATGATAGTATTGTAGCATGGCCAGTGTTCATACATATGTTAACTTGAAGTAAACTGCTCATTATGGGTTAAGCAAGCAACAAGGAAATAGAATTAAAATACAGATCTGATAAATATTATCCTATATTTCTTACACCATTATGGCCATAAATATTATTTCATGGGAGTGAAGAGGGGAGAACAGATTCCATTTCTAACTTGTCTTCCGGTCCAGGAGTATGAGTTTCTCAGGAGTAATGGGGCGAGAAATATTAATATTTCTTACAGTTGTTTTGTCAGTATGCCTTGCCTTAGATACACTTATGGAACCTTAGCTTTGGAGATCACCGGCTTCACAGTGGTGACGTTTATGGAAGAAGTAATGCTGTTTGGCCCCCCCCCCTGCCCGAGGAATTAATTTTGTATGAAATTGTACTGTTGATTTATATAATATTTATGAACATTGCCAAGGGTAAGCTATACCCAATTCAGAGGTTCATATTTTTAAAATGACAGCAATTAGCAGAATAAGTGGTGTATGGCATTCTCTTGGTTTATTGTAAATTCTGCAGTTGATGGAATAGGTAATTTCCAGTTTTCCAGTGTTATGCCTCTGGACGTATTTGGAATGGGTCGCTGTGATTTCCAGGTTTGTACATCTGGGAGGGTTCAGTGAGAGCATGGCATTAATCCAGAGAATCTCTTGTGACAACATAATATTTGGTTCCAAAGTTTGATGCTGCATACAAGCATGTGTACAACACATGTTCAAATTCCAAGTTGCTATGTTTTTCAGTGTCTTCATTTATGTAAGAGCATTTATACCAGATGAGAAAAACATTGCTTTTAGTGAATATAAAGTTATTATAATAATGTTAATGTTAATATTGTAACAATTCAGCAATTTTTGAATTATGAAGATTATAAGATGCATATTTTTACTATTACTTTGCTGATAATTCAATAATAATAGTGTTGGTAACATGTATCTATGATTGCTATCTTCAGAAAGGTTTCTATTACTTTATTTAGAGATCACTTCAACTGTGGCATAGACTTTTGAGTAGACAATTGCCCTTTCACAAGATGAGACTGATAGTGTGGCCCTGGTCTTGTGTGAGAGGTGGTTGCAGTATGAGACTGACGGTGTGGCCCTTGTGTCTTATGTGAGAGGTGGTTGCAGGATGAAAGACTGATGGTGTGGCCCTTGTGTCTTGTGTGAGACGTGGTCGCAGGATGAAAGACTGATAGTGTGGCCCTTGTGTCTCATTGTCTCTGGTGGTTTTGTTTTCCCACTTTTCATCTGCTTTTTTGCTCATTTTCACGTGACTTGTCGTCTCCTTTCTGTATTTACATATTTCGTTATGAGACTACAAGTATTGAATTGTACTATTTTACTTGCAGTGTTAAAAAATAATAAAATATTTTGAAAGTAATTGTTATTGTAGTTTCTATTATTAATTTTACTATTTTGGTTACCCTGAAGTTGATTGCCCATGTGCTATTGCCTCCAATATGGACTCCGTGGTGGGTGCATGTGCCGGACAGTGAAGACTTTCTCAGATTATGTATTCTTCCGACCCTCTCCTTTTCCCAGCCTGGTCAGGTGGGCAACCAGACTCCAGAGTCAGACCATGTTGGAATATTGGCCTCCATGGCTCCGGGTTTGGTAGGCCCAGACCAGGCTTAATCTCGGACCATCCCAACTGACCCTCTCTGTTCTCCACCTGTTTCTTTGGCAGGGTTGAGCTCCAAGCCTCTGGTGATGATTAATGTTCCAGGATTTGTTTAGCCCTGCTATGCGGCCTGATAATTTTGATCTTTGTCATGATGAACATACTCGTCCTGCTGATGTGCACATTCATAAGCACTTGATTGACTCTGTGGATTTCAAAGTTACTTTTATCCCTACCCGGACTGGTATTCGTGTAGTTATGGCCCCTTCCCAGAAAGGAGCTACCTGCCAAGCTACTTTGTCCTGTATTGGTGAGAGCCAGGTTTGGGATGTCCAAAAATACCCTGTTGAATGCAAGCAATGGCACTGTCATTCTTCTGCATCTTGTTGCAACTGGAGATAGACCACAAAGACTGCCATGAGGACATCAATTATATCCTTGAGGCTGAGGGCTTTTCTATCCAGATTGACACCTTCACTCCTCCCCCTTGTGGTCATTGTCATCAATCCCTTCAAGTTCAGATCACTTTTGGTGGTGGGACCCTACCATCTTTAGTCATTCTTGTCAGTGCCAGATGCTTCATTAAGGAGTACATCCCCTCTCGACGCCTTTACAATAGATGGTGAAAATTTGGTAATGGTTCTTCCAGGTGCAGCAGCAGCGGTTCTTCCTTTGCCCCTTATGTGGTGACCCTGGACATTCTCGTACTTGTTGCTCTTCATCCCAGGCTCACTGCATTACCTGCTGTGAGGCCCATCATGCCTTTTTCCCACATGCGTGCATTTAAAGTTTGAACTGGCCATCCTTGCCTTGAAGCATTGAGATCATATATTTGGCACCAAGTCTGGTGTCTTGACTTTCTCTAACATTACTTAAGTTTGTATTGTGTCGCACTACTCTTACCTTCTTTTTCACTACTACCTTCTTTTCCCACAATCATTCCCATACTTTTAACTCCCACACCTCTACCAGCTCCCCCTCTTCACTCTTCTCCAGGCCACAAGTTCACAGAGATGGATCTCCAACCATCATTTCCAAACTTCCCACTCTTCTACCCGCCAGGTTAGTACCACATCTCTACTTCTCCTCCTCTCTACTCTGTGCCTTACTTCACTTTTCGACCACAATGTGCCCCTCTGTTTTTGCCCTCCTCCACAGCTATCTGTCCAGGCCAATGTCCATCATCCTCTTGATCGTCTTTGTGTTGTCCACTCTTGTTCTCCCTCTTCAACCGAGACTGTGGAGGTTCTTGCACAATACCTTGCCCCAGGCATGCCTGTATCTCTTGTAAATGTAAATCTGGTTCCTCTCCCTCTTCCTCCCCAGTGGGTAAGAAGGCTTCTGTTCTTCCCCCAATTTCTTCTTCTTCTTGTCTTGGTTCTGGTCTCTCCTATAATCTTGGTTGCATAGTCGGCTGATCTTGCTATGGAAGTTCCTGTAGCCCTTGATTCTGCCTCTTGTACTGTCCCTAATAAAGTGATCACTGGTGTCATGAGGGAGTGCTGGTAGCTGGTAAAATTTATTGACAATGCTGATCGGGTTTCCTGTGACAGGATGTGAAATGAATTCATATAATTATATTTATCTTATAATGATGCCGTAGATGCTATTGAGGCTTTCATGATCGCCTGTGTCGACCAGCTGGGTGTCGTCATGTTGACGGTTGCTCGTGTCGACCAGCTGGGTGTCGTGTTGATTGCTTGTGTCGACCAGCTGAGTGTTGGTGTCTTGACGGTTGCCTGTGTCAACCAGCTGGGTGGTGGTGTGTTGATTGCTTGTGTCGACCAGCTGAGTGTTGTTGAGTTGATGGTTACTTGTGTCGACCAGTTGGGTGGTGTGTTCAGAGATATGCCAATCGTTTACAGCGATCTTCTGGTTGTTATTACGTTCATAAAGATAACCGTTGCTACTGTCGATCAGCTGGTTATTATCATACTGATAAAGGTGACGGCCACTTCCGTCAACCAGCTGGGTTTTGTCGTAATGATGACGTCCCTTCTGACGATGGAGTTGGCGGTTCTTTTGGTGTTGGCGCTGGTGTGACCGCTGGAGACGTCGGTCGTGTTGGTGCTGCCGGCGATGGTTGCTCAGTTGGTCTTGTAGCTCATCGTAAGGAATATCGTAGGGGGCTCCGTCATCCCTGTCCTCAGAGTTGTGGGTGTTCTTGGATTGTATAACGAAACGAGGGAGCATTGGCGGCGGCAGAGGCGGGTGAACTAAAAAAAAAAAAAAACATAAATATGTGTTGCTTTCATATCTGAGATAAAAGCCAGAATTTTCACCATCCTTTTGGTATTGTAAATTTAAAGTTGGAGTAACTTTACTCCAACTTACTTTAAAGTTTAAAGTTAAAGTAACCCTTATCACACGTATTTATTTCTTTGTTGATATTTTGACTAATAATTAAAACCATCAGCTAGACAAACAGCGAGACACAGACATACTCTATAGCCAATAAAGACAACTTACGAGGCTTTTCATAGACGTGGAAGAGCTTGCTTCTCCTCCTGCAGCAGAAAAAGATGCTGAGGACGACTAAAGTGGCTATGAAGAGGAGGCAGAGTACCAGCAGACTCACCAGCAGGTACTGAGGTCTGCTGGAAGTGGTGGCAGTGATGTCCATGGTGATCTTGGTCATATTGTTGTTGGCGTTGTTGCGGTCTACTGATCTGCTGCTGGAGACTCTGCTGTCAGGGCTGACCAGGGCTGGGGAAATGCAATTTGAATTCCAAACATGTAAATTAATCTATATCTGTGTGAAGAATGGTCTACAGCCCATCCTCCAATAATGATAGTACATGAAGCCATTTTGTTTTAATGTTCATAAATGTACTGTTGGACTCCCAAAAAGTTCACATTTTGTATTATGGCCATTCAAATGTCATTCTTAAAAACGGTTTCAGAAACTGAAGAACCTAACCTATCCAGGGAATCCAAGCTTATTATATGCTATCTTGGGCCTAATACAGTACTTATTTTTGCTATACAGTGTTTTTTTATGAACTAGGGAATAGCCTTGTCGTAACTAAATTCATTTCTGTTGAAAGCCCAGACATACTGTAGTTCAGTGATTAAATATGCATGCCATTTCTTGGCTTACATTGGTTGTTTTATTCTGTTAATCATTTTGAAATAGATGTTTCATGTTAGGTTGCCTCAGACATGTCGGGTTGGTCAATATTCGTTACATAGGCTGGTATATGCAAATTTTCCTTGCAGTATATGGTAATGTAATAATTTGAAGGAAAGTAAATCATGGTGGAATTGTTGCTGGCATAGGAGAAAAGTGAATAACGTTGATCTGGCACCGTGGTGTCTACAGGCAGAGTCTTACATCCCTCAACTCTTACTTTAAAAGTTAGTTGGTCTTGTGAATCCGTGGAGCTAGGACGTGTGGCTCAGGGGCTACTAATTGTTGGGTAAGTACCTTTCTCTCTCTATTGGGATAGGATTACCATGTCAGGCAGTGATGCTAGTTATTAATTATATAGTGATATATTCAGTGAATTTTTTGCAGCGATAAGATATTTTGTTAGTAATATGCTCTTAAAGACTTTACTGTTGTAAAGGGGATGCTGGTTGCAACTTGAGCATTTAATTTTGTTTATTGCTACATCAGTCAGTGCTATTAAAGTCTTGTGATGGCCAGTGATATTAATGCCTCAATATTGGATTATTAAATTTTACCCACCTTATTAAAGTAATCTCTGGGATTAATTATTATTCATCTGTTACTTAAGTACAGCTATAGTAATTTGATACGGTGTTTCAGTCATTCCAATCCCTTTGATTACAGGTCATTTTGGCTAGTAACATTATTTCCTGAGAGAGAACTGAGTTCAGGTCCGGCTGTTTACTGGGGTGACTAGAGTAACTGGCTTACAACAAGCACACTTATAACAGCCCTTTGTTAAATTTTTAGTACAAAATGGTAACATTGCTGGCTACAACTGCCAATTTTCTAAGTTCGACTAAACAGTTGTTGTGAGAACAGTACTATCATTTTAGAAGGATGGGCTGGATCTATGCATGATAATATTGTAAACTTCTAATCGTCGACCCACTTGCTCTCACCCACTTGTGCTCTCCCCATCTGCTCTCTTACCCACCTCCCCTCTCACCCACTTGCTCCCTCATCCATCTGCTCTCTCACCCATCTGTCTTTTTCCCTATTTGCTCTCTCACCCATACACATAAACAGCCAATCTCCTCTATCACACCAACAGGGTTCGTAATCCATGGAACCGCCTACCCGCCGAAGCTGTAACTGCCAAAATTGTGTAGTTTTAAAATATAACTGGAAAATATAATCTAGGCAACTGGGGCGGGGAGTGATCTTCGACAAGTCGCCAACTTCCTGTCCTCATCGAGGCCACTAGGATTAGTGGCCCTCAGGTGGTAGAAACAGCCTTCCAGTCAGTCATGCAGATAGACAGCCATCCCCTCGGTTACAACCATTCTGTCAGACACCCACAGACAATTATTTCCTCAGAGACATATCCGGATACTCGGACAACCATCCTCTGAGAGACAGATAGCCATCCCTCGGAAAGACCGTCCCCCTCAGAGAGAGACAGCCATCCCTCCAGAGAGAGAGAGGCGGCAATCCTCTTCAGACACTTAGCCATCGCCTCGGGCGGGAACAGCCAGCCATCCCCTCAGAGACACTCACCACACATGTGCTGGTTCTTGCAGAAGGCCCAGTAGACGAGGTTCTCGCTGGTGACTGCCACTTGTCTCACTCTCGTGTAGTCTAAATTGGTATAGATCAGTCCGTGAGGAATACTGATGCTGACTGCAGTCTTTGCCGTCTGTGGGAGGAAGACAGGTGCTTTCAGTACTGTAAGCATAACAGATTTCGTAGATGCAAAGATTCACTTTCGTGCACTGGAGGGTTTGAAAGATCAGGGCTTGTTTACATTGAAATGTTGTGAAGGAAAATGTGCGTTTTCATTTAATAAATAATTTACCTGCCAGCATAAAAGCAAATCTATCCTTAGTATGTCACACTCCAGCAAACTTTTTTCATGTAACACACTCATACTCGCCCACGGCTCCTCTCTTTCTCTTGCATCCAGGAGCCTTTCCCACAACCTCTACTCTAGAGTCTATCTACATACCATCTCCTTAAATAGTTTTCCGTTGTCGGAGACAAGAAGCTTGTTAGGCCTATAGAGGTCCTTTAAGTTAACGACTATTGTTACCCGGATGCGACCCATAACAATCTGTCCTCGCTGAGGCCACAAGGGTTAGTGGCCCTCAGGTAAATCAGGTAATACACGCCCCACATTGTACACTACTACTACTACTCCATACATTGTACACTACATACTACTACACCACACATTGTACACTACAAACTACTACACCATACATTGTACACTACATACTACTACACCACACATTGTACACTACAAACTACTACACCATACATTGTACACTACATACTACTACACCACACCGCACAGCCTCTCCCGTGGTCCTCACCGGTTGAGAAACGTAGCCAATGTGCCACACATCGGGCTGAATGATGGTGAAATTAGCCTGGTAGTGCATGGTGCTGGTGAACCGTAGACTGACATTGGTGTTAGGATGGTGAGTCCAGAAGTAGATGCTGGATGTGCCTACTACATCCTGCGGGATGGTGATGTTCACCACTGATCCTGAGTGTGTTGTTATCACTGCACCTTCTGCAATGAGAAATGGAACAGGTAACAAAATAATAAGACAATGCAATGAGACAGAGCTTGCATGGACTCCCCAGGGTAAGTCCAGAAATCTGAATTAGATTTCATTGTATTGCCTTAATATTTTCTCGTGAGTTAATTATTAGGAGAAAACGCCAAGCCAATAAGGCGATATTGCACTTGGATAACGATAAGGATCTGGAATAGAACAGAGGGAAGGAATAGTACTCAACCACTTAGACCATCGGGGATCGAACGCCGACCTGCAATGTTTTCTCCTCTACTCACATTTTTATGATTTCAGTGTGCATAAAACAGGTAAGTTGAAAGTTTGTGGGTATATATGGCTTGAAGTCCTTGGATGAATTAGAGAATTGAACGGTGTTGTTACCTTCTTGAGCTGTAATGACTGTGTTGATGGTGAGGATAAAGAAGACAGATGCAGTGCAGACTATGGTAACCATTTTCTTTGTTTTTTCCTTCCAATTGCACTTCTGTCGTGGTGTTGTGAAGCCTAATGTTCTCAGTCGCTGTTGATGGCACTCTGAAGACCTCTGAATACGGAGGTCCTCTGAACACTTGTTTCTAGTTTAAAACACCATTGGTCGTGTAAGTTCAGTACTATTTTTAAATCTGCGAAATGCGTCTTTTTATGAAGCTCTTTTTATTTGCTTTTTTTCTATAAGAAATTTCCGTCTGATGAACGAATTAGTTTCCACAAAGTGATCTGTACACATCACCTTTCGAAAAAAAACGCTTTCCAAGGCACTAACACTTTAGGACCAGCGCTGAGGTTCTTTCTGTCTAACCAAAAGAAGAACGTCTGGGTATCTGAAGCACGGAGGCTCTAAAGTGGCCTTGTTTACTAAAGAGCGACCAGGCACCCCCCCCCCCCGTCCAGGATATCCTGTGATATCTTGCACCCTCGTTGGGGCAGGTGTTACTGCTGCTGCTGCTGCTCCTGCTCCTGCTCCTATTCCTTCTTTATTTCATGCTGCCACTTCAACTATTACTGTTACTAATAACGGTATTCCTACTACTGTCGCCTTTACTACTGCTTCTACTGTCCCAACTACTTTGAGGGGACTCAGTGAATGTTGGAGAGAGATATGAGTTTCATCTTAATGGGTTAATGACGTCAGTGTTGTGGATGGGATTTCTCGGGCACTGTTTAGAGTGATTATGTAATGGAACTTTGCAGTGTGGAGAAACTCTGCATTTTGAAGCGAACGAAGAGGGACATCTATCACAATTAAGGCTGGCAACAATGAGAGACATCTATCACAAGGCTGGCAACGAAGAGAGACATCTATCACAAGGCTGGCAACGAAGAGAGACATCTATCACAAGGCTGGCAACAAAGAGAGACATCTATCACAAGGCTGGCAACAAAGAGAGACATCTATCACAAGGCTGGCAACAAAGAGAGACATCTATCACAAGGCTGGCAACAAAGAGACATCATCTGTCAGAAGCCTGGCATTAAAAAAAGAGACGTCATTTAACACAAAGGAAACACATGCACTTCTTCAGCGTATATATATGTATCTCATTACCATTTTTGCCAACCCAATAATATGACCACTAATTAATTTGACATCACTTCTCTAACCAATATTCAGACAACGACTTCACCTACCTAATAGCTACATGACACGTCTGCTCTCTAAGCACTAACTACGTGACACTTCAGCTCTCTAAGCAATAGTTACACGACCACTTCAGCTGAAAATGACTACAGCTTTCAAGGTTAAGAAAGTGACGTCAGAACCACCCGGATTCTACCAACATTAAAAGTTTACTTTCACAATGTTACGAGTGAAGTGGTCAATGTTGTCATGGCTTTTCTTGGAAGATCTCTTGCTTAAACTTTTCATCGTATATCTGGGACTGGGAAAGTCCACCTGGCCTGTGGTAAGGTTTGTATTTACTATTTGTGCCTGGAGGACCCCGCCTTTCTAACCGTCGATGAAGATTTGATTGATGAAGATTAAGCCACCCAAAAGGTGGCACGGGCATGAATAGCCCGTAAGTGGTGGCCCTTTTGAGCCATTACCAGTATCAATAGATGATACTGGAGATCTGTGGAGGTGCGACTGTACCCTACGGAAAGGTCGTGACCTCTTCCTTCTAACCATCGGTTATCATACATGTTTTATTTCACCTTTACCTCCCGGACCTATTTTATAAATTGGTATTAATTTGGTACCTGATAGCTTCACAGACGGATCAGTAGACCAGCGTAGACAAGAATCCGGAGCTGCAGTTAAGACAGGAAATTCTGTAGTTAGAGGCTGTCAAATTGGTGATCAAATTTACAAACACAGATGCTAACCATTCATAAGGCTTTGGAACATGCTCTTGTTGAGCACCTTATTCAAAAGTAAAACAAAAAAATACTTAATTTCATCTTCATAGTTTCCTACCTTGTGCTTCAAACTTAAACTGTATTTTGTGCTGCCTACTCTCCTAATATAAGTAATTATGACATGCATCTTCACCTGCGTAACCATCCCCGTGAATTTATATTGTAGTTATTATGTTTAACTAAAATTTTGCTACAATGTAACTAACTATTCATGTAACCTTATCCGTTAGATTTAGGACCTGCCCGAAACGCTGTGCGTGTTAGTCACCTCAGTGGCTCTGCAAGAATGTAAGAACACTGTACTCTTACAAACCCACTGCACCTTCTTTTATATAACAATAAATAAATAAATAAATAAAAGTGTGTAGTGTTTAAAATATTCTTAGAGAGGATGTTATATGTGGAGTTATATATACTCTGTTTACATAAACATGTTTATATAAACACTGTTTAATTAATAGAGATTCACTAATAAAGCTTATAATTGTATATGTTATCAAAAAGGCATAGATAAAGTCGTTCTTACGTTTTAGTCACAGAGATTAGATATTAGTAAAGTAAAGTTCATTTTATTCAGGAAAGTACATAAATAGTCGATTTACAAACATAATATTGGATTTATAGATAGAGCTAGTACATACAATACTTAAAGCCACTAGTACGCATAGCGTTTCGGGCATATTATTGAGAGAGGAAAGATATTTATATTTAAACAATTTTTTTTTTTACCGACGCTCTCCCTATTGATGAGAACTACAACCTAATGAAGATAAATGTTCATTTTATGTAGATACTGTAATAAACGAAAGTTTTTAATGTCATCAGAGAAGCAGAAATATAGGCAAATTTTAAATCCCTTGTCATAAATATAACTGAAGTGAAAGCAAAGATATATGCATTTTGATAGTTACAAAGACAGCTCTTTAACACGGGTGGAACACGAACAAGGGGAACTTAGTACCCAAATGAGCCACAGAGATATTAGAAAGAATTTTTTCAGTGTCAGAGTAGTTAACAAATGGAATGTATTAAGCAGTGATGTGGTGGAGGCTGACTCCATACACAATTTCATATGTAGATGTGATAGAGCCCAATAGGCTCAGGAACCTGTACACCTGTTGATGGACGGTTGAGAGTCGGGACCAAAGAACCAAAGCTCAACCCCTGCAAGCACAAATTAGGTGAGTACAACTAGGTGAATACAGCTGAGGGGCGGGACCAAACAGCTGAAGCTCAATTCCCTACGTATAACTAGGCGAGTCCATAGGAATTACCGTTTGTCCTGGCGCCATCTATGTTTTGACAGCAGTACTACTAATGTTCCCACGTTATGTGATGATTGCTATACGGGTGTTACGGTCAGTTGCTCTTCTATATATGTTTATGGACAACGTAGGTGATTTGAGGCAATTTGCGGCCAGAGTGAAATAGTATCCACGCGGTGAGTGATGGAGGAGGATATATACTGCTGTGTACTCGACCAGCGGGTGAGAGGTAAGTTATATCGAATAATTATGGGGAATAGATGGGTTATTTTAAGCGTAGAATGTCAGGTAACCGGTAACTACACAGATGGGGTAGTGGTTTTTTTAAGTCTTTATTTACTAAAGTGGAACATTACATTATGCCTTTAGCTGAACAAGTCTACTGGTGTGGGAAGTAGACGGGTGTTATGAAAGTATTTTACCTAAATATTTGTATTTGGTTAACTAGTTCAGCCGTTACCAGGGAGGGTGTTCCTTTAATCTAAAAATTCTAGCCGGACAAAGTGATTAAATAAATTGAATAGAACGAAGTGGTTTGCCAGGGTGCTTAACATTTAGTTTAGTTCACTTACTATGCAGCCCATGCTTAAAGATTGCAAGTTTATCATATTGAATTTACCGTAGTTTTACTGCATTTAATATACCGTTTTTACCCTATTTAATTATGTCTGGTAAAGGCCGGTCGTGGAAAGTTCCTAATATAGCAAGTTTTAAAGGAAAGTTTGAGTTAACTTTAACGCGTAAGTTAGTGACCAATTAGCTTAGTCTATTGTGAGGAAAGTTACTAGAATCTAGCATTGCAAGTGCCATTTCTCTACTCTTTTTGAGAAACGTGACTAGATACATGAATCGCATAGTTTTATTACTAAATGTTCATGGATTAGGTTGCATAGTTGAGGAAATAGTGATAAAGTTTGTGATTTTGTGTACTTTGACTTCAGCAGAGATTTTGATAGTGGCGCAAAATTGATAGGGGCTCTGATCATTGGGAATGCTGAATGAAGTTGATTAGGTCATGGCTATACCAAAGGAAATTAGTATAAATGGGGTTAAGTTGGGAGAAGTGTTGTAAGGAGTGCCTAAAAGCTCTCCTTGGACCTCGGTTATTGGCAAGATTATGGTTTAGACTGCATTAGTTGCAGAATTGGCAAATAAAAAATACCGATGCCCTATATAGTTTTGAAATAGTTAAGACTACCAGATGCAGTTTAATGCTGACAAGTGTAAGGTTTGGGGGCTAGGTAAAGATGAGATAGATGGTGTAGATTAAGAGTATATTAAATTTTTTTGCAGGTGGTAAATTCTGAGCTGGCACTGCTCTCCAGCCTGGGATGTTGATTGGTTAGTCTTCAACTGCCTCCCAACATGGTAGTGAGGTCTCGAGCTGACATGCAGTGAGGAATGTGGAAAGCTTCCTTTCAAACCAGCAGCTGGCACAAATGTTCCAGCTAACATGAGAATAGTGGAAGGTCCTGGCAACAAAGAGCTGCAGGAAATTACTTGCAGATCTTCAGTAAGTAGTGTTGTGTACATTGGAATTAGAGGGTAGAAGTTAATTGCTAAAAACCTATTAAATATTAGGGTATGGAAGTCTAGGCTTAGGCTAGTGGGTACCATATCTGCAAGTTTAGTCCTTTCAGGAATGTATTGAATAGTGCTATGTTAAAATTGTAATGTGGGGCATTAGATCTTAAACAGCATAGTTGAGGGTGTTTTATTAATATTAATGAAATATAAATCTTTAGTTAACATTAAATGTATAACACTGTTAAGGATAATCATGAGTCAAAGTTAATGGCAGGAAAAGTTTTGTTCCAAGTGATATTTTTCCCTTGGAAGTAAAAAAAATATTCAATGTTTACTTTAGCTTGGTTTTAAATTTTTATAGTTTTCCAGAATGTGGTTTGGAAAGTCCAGAAGTCCCTCTGTCAGTTGCTTCAACAAAATCAGGTGAGTTGTAGTAAAGGTTACTCTAAATAGATTTGCATAAAAGTAAAAAGATGGTAATAACTTAAACAATATAGCATTGGCTAAAGATAAATGTAAATTGCCATTGAAGTGCAGTTGTGGATAGTTTCTCAAATGACATTTACTGAAACTTGGCAAATTGATGCCATATATATTTATATTGCTAAATTAGATCTTTACTACTGTACTGCTACTAAATATGTAGGAAAGGTAAATTCCTTAAAGAAATTTTTTCCATCTGAATCTGTAAAGTACTGAATGCTAATGTGAAAAGTAAAGAAAGATTGGCTTTAAATCTGAAATATTTTTCAGGTGAAAGTAAGCTGACATGCAGAGCCTTAGTCCTGATGCATGGACTGAGGCTCCTTTACTCTGCAAAAGGAAATCTACAAAAGTGGGTGAGATTGAATTTGATGTTTTAGCTATATCAATGACCTAATCTTAATTCTCTTATCTAGTCCATTTATAGGTGTGTAACCATGTCCTACTGTTACAACCCACAGGGATGATGCAGTTTGTACTGATCCTACCCCATTGCATAAAAGGGGACCAGGCAGTCCTGCAGATCTCCCTGGCTTGGCTTTTTCAGAGCTTTGCTCTACTACCCATCTACTAGATGGACTAGATTTGCATAGGTTTAGGGACCCTTAACAATGGTTACATTGTTAATCCTCACAGGGCTTGTTTGCTGAATGGGTGGATGCATCTAAAACTTTAGTGCCTGGCATGCATTGCTTACAATAAAGCATATGTACAATGTGTTGATGGCACTAAAGTGGTGGATGTACTGCACCCATGCAGGGAACAAGCTCTGCAATAAAACCAGAGTAAGGGATAGGCCTTGCTGAGCCTATCTTAAAAGATAGGATGTTAGGATTTTTTGGGCTTGTTATTAGGCATTGGGGATAATAAAAGTAGTGTCCCTGTTTAATGTTTATTTTTCTTTTACAGGTGATTATCTCTGGAGTTGTCTTGGCCTTGGATCTTCTGTTCATCTAGGAGCATCTGTCCCACAACCTGAAACAGTAATAAATATTAGATGTTTAATAAATACTATATGTAAAACTTATTAAATAAAACGATTTTAATGAAACTACTTTATATACCTTATCCTGAAATTATGCTGGAAATTATTGTTTACTACTATTGATGCAATGTTTAAACATCTGAAATTTTTTTACTTTGAAAATAAATACTTGGTAAAATTTACACCTATTTGTAACTTGTTACATAGGTGCATGCAAAATGCATTGAAAAGATGTAAAAGTGGACTACCTATTCAATTTACATAGACTAATTTGCAATATTTGTTAGTTTGAAATATTAAAGTGCAAGAAACTTTAGTCAATTTTAGTTTTCATATTTGAAAGTAAATTTAAAGCTATGCAACACAATTTAATCATAATTTGTACAAAGCTTAACTGAAGATCATTTGTAAATTTAAATATTAGAAAAGTGACACTGAAGCATCTATACAACATGGTTTTCACAAAGTCTTTGGTAACTTAAATTTAATCAAAGCTCTTAAATGATTTGTCTGCCAAACTTAAGATATTCTGAAATATTTTACCTAGATTAAAACCATCATTGTTTGAAAGGGCAAAACAGATTACTGTCAATTAGTTTGACCTAACATCTGCAAGGTCCTGAAGGAATGGAATTTTTTAAAACTTTTCTAAAAAAAATTTAGCAGGTTCATTAAGCAGGGTTAGTTTTTAGCAATGGTAATTGCAACATTACCAAAGGCCATTGTTTTAATAGCCAAAGTACCAAATGGAAGACCAAGAAGCAACAAACAGGTACATGGTAGAAAGGACAAAAGAAAGGGTCCTCGTAACCATTCATTTGTTAAAGAAATGACTGGGGAAAAATGCTGTCATACCACAAGGGGTCTCAACCCCTTGTCATATACATCACTGACATTAATCTAAATATTACCAACCACAAAAATTGCTGATAACGTTATAAAAAAAATAAAGATTAAAATATTGAGGCCTTAATGCAGATCTCTAACTCTACAAATAGTAACAAGACTGGCAATTTCTTAATATAAAACAGAAAAAAATCCAAGACCTTGCACATGAGCCACAACTACCACATTAAAATGAAACAACAATGAAGGTAAGGTAATTACCAAAAGAAGGCACCAAACCGGGAAGGCCATGTAGCACCATCAAAGTGCGAAATAATCAGAGGGCGCTAAATATCACCAAGAATGCCAATACGAGAACAAAAACGCATAAGGCGAACAATATCAAAAGTATCCGATTCACCTAGAATTCTATCGAGGGACAAGTGACTGCGAGGGACGGTCGGAAAGCAAGACACACAATAAGGAGCAGGGCGGCGCTCCATTAAGTCACCGTGGGTTAAGCGGGTATGACCAACCCACAGCCGTGCCAAAGCAGTGTCCCACTGCCGGTTACGGTGGTAGGAGGAAGGCCACGGGGACACACTAAGTTTGAGAGTACGCAGCTTGTTACCAACAACCCTGCCAACGGGGAAGAATGAATAACAGGATAAAAGTCGGAATAAGGAATACCTTTACGGGAGATGGGACAAGAACGGATAGCTTCCTTAGCGGCAGCATCCGCACGCTCATTGAAACACCAATATGGCTGGGAACCCAGCAAAACTCTACTGATTTAAATTTACTAGAAATAAGAAACAGCCAATGTTGAATCTCAATGACCACCGGATGGACAGGATTAAAGGACCCTAGAGCCATGAGGGCACTACGAGAATCAACTACAACCACAAAGGAGGAATGAGAAAGCAAGAGACGAAGAGCATAGAGAATAGCATAAAGTTCTGCCGTAAAGACGCTAGCCTCTGAAGGGAGGCGACACATGTAAGTACGGTCAGGAAAAACAACAGAGTAGCCCACACCATCCGCAGACTTAGACCCATCAGGGAAGATGGAAATAGAATGGGAGTGTGAAGAAAAATGCTCAAGGAAGAGGCTTTTCAGAATTGTAGGAGGGGTAAAGGCTTTAGTAATACAAGTCAAGGACGTACAAAACTTGGGAAGGGGGACTCTCCACGGAGGTAATGAAGGAACAATACGAGGAGAAACATTAGAAATATGAACAGAAAGAGAATCCTGTAAGCGAGATAACTGGACAGAAAGTGGGAGACAATGAAGAGGAACAGGAACCACAGGAGGAGGAAAAGTCAATGCACGACAGAGGCGAGAGGAAGGATGTTGGAAGGACCGCGCAAGATAGCGAAGATAGTAGCGATCACGGCAGTCCTGAAGAGAGAGAAAGCCAGTGTCAACATACAAACTAAGGGCAGGAGTCGAACGAAAGCCACCAGAGCCGAGACGCAACCCAGTATGGTGCAAAGCATCAAGACGGCGAAGAGTAGAAGGAGAAGCAGAAGAGTATGCAGGGCAACCATAATCGAGTTTAGACAGGATGAGAGAGGAGTGCAAATAGAGGAGTGTGCGCCTATCCGCTCCCCAAGAAGTATGGGACAAAACCTTAAGGAGGTTAAGGGCCTTAGAGCATTCAACTCGGAGGCAAGACATATGGGCTGACCAAGACAAACGAGTGTCAAAGACTAACCCCAAAAGCTTCGCGGAATCCCTGTACACAATGAGATGACCATAAAGCAACAACAATGAAGTAAAGGTCCTTTCAGTAAGAATCTATCATTCACTGAAAGTTGCTGCAGTTAAAAATATAAGACAATACAAGTCCCTAGAAATAAACAAGCAACCTTTTTGACTAAGGAAAAGAAGGTAGTTATTCTACTGTATAAATCTAAGTATTCACTTAGATAACTGTATCCAAGCATAGAGGTAACCCCCCCCCCCCCTTCCCTTTCAGAAAAACATCTACTTTCGAAAAAATTTAACATTAGCCAACAAAAATGATTCCAGAACTAAATTGCCTATTACCAGGAACAACTGAGAGCCATGACAAACACTGCAACCCTCTCCTACCCCCAAGTCTTATGCTATTTGTGATCCAAGGTAATTTGAGATACTATACTGTACTTCCTACAGACGAGTCTAGTGAGAGGGTGATCTCCTGGCGATTAAATTGAAGCACGATACAGGTGTCAACGAACATCAGTCAGCCCACTTGTCAGCACTGTGGATAACTAATGACATCATAATCTGCAGTGTTGTATGCCTCCCTGTGCCCATTTAAATCAATAAAACACAGGGTTGTGGCAATGTTTACAGCATAAGGCAAGGTATAGAGGAATCCTGGAATGCCATGTAATGAGTAGTCCTTGAATGTGCTTTAGGCAACCAAATTGAATAACAACATTTCTGGTGTTCGGCTATATAATCCGAGTTTCTCATTCGGTATAATGTTTTAAACCTAAATAGGAATTCACTTTAAAGGTCAATTTATTTGGAAAGTGCTAACCAGATTCCAAATTTCTCAGCTCTGAAAGTACTACAAGGCAAGTTTAACCGAATGAGTCTTTGCCTATCCATACCCCCATGAGGTATGTGACAACACTGAATAAAGAAAGGGTCTTTGAGCATTCACCGTGCAGGTATTTGACATGACCAATATAGCCAAGTGTTAAAGATCATTCTAAGCACTTCTGCACAATCCATATACTATCAATTAATATAATTATACAATGGTGCTTGGTGGATGATATTTCCTATTAAAACTCATTGGACAACTGTTTGTATTAGACATTTTAAACCTACAAATGGTAGCCCTAGATATCGCACTACAGTATTAATTACAAGATGAACAGTGTAAAATCAATACCACAACAGCAAAGGATGACGGCTTTTCAACAACCAACAAACACGCAGGTCTAACACCAGCCATCCCGAGAGAGGACGTCCCAAGCATGTACACCCCACAACTTTACATCACCTTTGCTACCTCACGCGAGCACGCAACAGCATGAGGATGCCATACTCCCAAACCAACTCCGTGCACTTTGAGGCTTTAACAACTCAACATTTAAAAAGTTGATTTAAAAAATCAAACACCTGAATTTTTCCCTAATTAAATTTACTAGGGAAATGCACACCAAGCCATGAAACTTACAATGAAGATGAACAAACTACACACAACTGTCACCAAACTTCCACATACCACCCCCCTCTCACTCCTGCCCTCCCTCCTTAGGTGCTCTGATTGGCTGAGCACCTGAGCCACCACCACTCACCTCTTGTTGTGAGAGCCTAAAGCATGTTTCATAACTCACCTTCTCGTAATTAAAAAAAAAAACATTGTCAGATCAACAGGGAAAGGGCCAGTGCAGGCGATGAGTAGTGGGGTCCCTCGATTGTTTCAAGCGCGGGTTGGACAAGTATATGAGTGGGATTGGGTGGTTAAATATAGGAGCTGCCTCGTATGGGCCAATAGGCCTTCTGCAGTTACCTTTGTTCTTATGTTCTTATGTTCTTATGTTTGGTTGCACTTTAAAAGTTCCTGAGTGTACTCGCCTAATTGTGAGTACCGCCTGCCCGGTTCACCATTTTGTTTTTCAATCTACCTCAATTTACCCCTTTACAGTCAAATATTATGCAAATTTCTGTTTAAGACTTGTCCCTTCTTAACTTAAATAACTGCTTTGGCCATCTGCAATCTTTCTAGGTGGGTAAAAATGACTCTTGAGGCCAGAAAGGACTTATCAGACGGCGATCATAACAATACGGTACACACACAAAATCACAACCTGATATACACCAAGCAGAAAATCCACTGGAGCTGTGAGGCGACGTAAACCCTTGCCCAAGGCACAGGCAGCTGCATACTCTACCACAGTATATTACTGACTTTGTAAAAGTCTTACAACCGGATTTCCCCATAAATCACAGCAAGTTTTGAGGCCCCTCCTTGAGTCAACGTCTTACGTAAGACCTACAAGCACTCAGGTGAAAGCTGAAGCAGTTCAACACCATACGCCCCAACTTCAAATATACAGTTGAGAGGCGGGACCAAAACGTGATTTTCTGTGTGTGCCTGAAGTTGGGGCATAGGGTCTTGCTTCACCCTTCACTTTACCCTTCACCG